ACTTCTACTAAAAACTAAAGAGCTTCGAGCATAATTCTCTCAAAATAATAGCAGTAGGAAATATATTTTCTTGAGGACGGTAGAAAATGGTTTTGAGAGATTTTAAATAAATAGTTGGATAAGTTTAGTGATTGATGATGTTTATAGTAGATTCGAATATGTTATACTGTGAAATACGTCATGGAAATAGTCTGTACCACTAAACTATATACAACACGGCCGATTTCAATCGTTTTTGTGTCACGTGGTATGAACCCTTACCTGAGGTAATCCAAACATGCGTCTGACGTCATAGCTACCTTTGTGTCGAAGATTTCTTCATAGTCCTGAAAATAAGAATCAAGTTGTATTGTAATTGCTGATGACTTCACCTCGTTCCTCTCATCAATTCATAGTGCGCAGCTGATGACTACACATCGTACCCCTTACCTAATCACAGCGCTCAGCTGATGATTTCAACTCGCCCATATCATCTAACCACATCGCCTAACTAATATGTGTGTGGTATGGTGTAGCACACAGGTCTAGAAATCACCGGGTGGTATGGGAGCCCTCTGGTGTTGGATTCAACTATTATTATTTATTTTATTTTTTTTGGAGGGGGGGTCTTTTAGATTATGATTATCACAAAACAGTTTGACTGCGATATTGAAACACGTCCAAGATGGTTCATGAATGCCTAAATATTATATATATAGAAAGTGGAAATTTATAATTGTAGTATTTGATTATTACTCAATACAGACGTGCGTCAGATGCATGCACCTCATATGAAGATTCACTGGCCGGAACGCCTGATACCACCTACTCTGTATCTGTCTAGCAGCGTTTACTGTGTTTGCTTTTAATTTCAACCACGGTGTGTAATCGACGTAGATCATTTCGCGATTTCTAATCATAGAGAATTGTGGGACAGTTTTTGATTGAATCAAACACAACTCCGCCAATCACAAAGCGCGTATTCTCGTGCAACCCGCGAAAAGTATCCCACAATACACTATACTTTGGAATTGCGATATGGTTTATACACGATCGCAAGACGTGCTTTGAGAGCTAAGTACGCGGTCACTTACCTGTCCATGTACGCAAAACAGTTCTACGTCACCCTTCGTCATCACCGTGCTTCGTCTAACACTCCCACTTATCATATCGGTTTCCTGTACGCCAGAAAACTTTCGTTATAACAATGCGACAAGACGTGTGTGGTATCATGGTCAAAGGCGAGCAGGTATCAGTGACTCAGATACGAAGCTAAGCAGTTCACGCCAACTCAAGGTTGGAGCATGTTTGATAACTTACCCCGAATTTGTCTCCTTTATTTAAAATAAATGTCTGACCAATCTTAGTATTCTCTGTGACTGTGGATTTAAATAATGCATCATTACATGAGTATATAATTTAACCAAATGTAGTTTGTCATATTTAACGAAGATGGGTGCAGTTCATGAAGCAATCTTAAGTTTGGTAATTAATATTACAAAACATAGGATTCGCCGCTAGAGGGGCTAGAGGTCTTATTGAAAAAATCGCCAGATATTCGAATTATTGAAATCAACATCGAAGTAATTTCACATACGTTTTCCAGTAAGTACAATGTAAAGGCCTTCTGGTTTCTGTCCTTCCCGGCAAATGACCCGGTTCCTGCCAAACCTGAAACAGATACGCACGATATATTAAAACAACACTGCGTGTGTTATGTTGATACCATCTTCCGACCAAAAAGGCATTCACACAGGACACATGCCTTCTGACACGTACCTGTCTCACCCACGCATGCTAACATAGTTGTGTCTGGATAGCTTAACTGTGCAACCACGCTTACTCACATAGTGTCTGGATAGCATGCCTGTCCCACCACGCATGCTCACATAGTTGTGTCTGGATAGCTTACCTGTCCCACCACGCATGCTAACATAGTTGTGTCTGGATCGCTTACCTGTCCCACCACGCATGCTAACATAG